ATCGAGCCTCATTTGCAAAATGCTGCATGCTATCAGGTTGATCTGGGTGCACCAGAGGCAAATTTAGACTAAAAGTGTCAAATGGCTTTGGAGTGATTCTGTGAAGCCCTACTACCTGTCCACAGCAATTAAAACCTGCATGTCTGTCCCTGCACTCTCTCAGGATAGAGGGGTTTCATGAGCCAGGTGGCCTGGGTTCTAATTCCACCTCTGCTGTCTCAGATATGTCATCTGTCACATCTATTAGACAGGGAGGTAAGAACAGCATCTACCTAGAAGGTTCTCGTAAGGATTCATGAAACTGACATAGTTAGAAGAGTGCTTGGCAGACACTGAGCACTATGACAGCATTGATCATTGTTAGTATTTTCACAAGCCTGTTTTCTCAAACATAACAATCGATTGATACATAGCAAGTACCTAGTAACAGCCATTAAATGAACAACTCCTCTATAGCACCACCTAGGGCTGATGCTACAGCTGTTGTATTTTGCAACTGTTTGAATTCAACTACCAGCCTGATAGTCACTTTCTTTGTCTGTGACAGTCTCGCATCACCACTATGCAGACTCAGCTTCACAATGAAGACATGTCCTAACTGCCTGAGATTCTTTCGTTGGCTACTGACAGAAACTCACTGGTAGCTGAGCAGAACCTGAGGAGGAATCTTGATTTGGGTATTTTAAAGTCTTCTGTAGGAGGTAGGGGAAGAATTATCCCAGAAAACATGTCAGCCCCTTGAAAGGCTGCCACTGGAGGCCAGGTCAAAGGGCAATAACACGGCTTTTCTTAACAGGTGACTTGAGGGTTAGATATATGCACCTGATTGTCTCTTTACTTAGACATATTGTAGTTTTTGCTCGTGTTTCTGATATACACCATGAGAGAACACAAGTGAGAAGATTTATTAACACAAAGGTCAAGAAAACTCATAATTATTGAAGAGGGACATAATTTTATTTGAAAATAGAATAATAAGCTAGAGTCAAGAAATAAATACATCAAGACAAACTTCCCCTGCCTCTCTGTTTTCTTTTTGAAGGTATATCATCTTCAGCAGGCAGCTGACTTTTTCTGCTCGATATGGGTTAATGCAGGTCTGGATGGATGGCACTGAAGGAAGACGGATGAGGGTGGAGAGGAGCAAATAGAAACTTAGTGGCAGGTGGACACTTTTCAGGCCTGATGATTCTCAGAAACCATTTACCAGGCAGCTTTAAATCACAGTCAAGAGCTAGGTGCTGCTTCAGTAATTCAGGTACCAGAGCCAGGAGAGGTAAATATGCCTGGTGCAGCCATGTCTATGTCAAACTTCAAGGATTCTTTATTCTGAGAGTCCAGAGATGAGCTGCATAGCCTTGAAGTCATATGAAATCATAAGATTTTATAGAAAGAGGAGTTCATGTATCTCATTAAATTCTCAAAAGTATTCGTGATATAAAAAATTGTAGAGCCAGGTGTGGAATTTCAAGAGAAGAGGAAAGTAAAAGGTTACGGTGTAAAAACTCAGTGACAAAGGTGGAAATAGAGAGAGAATGATAGTTTATGACTTGGCAATAAAGAACAAGGCCCAGCCCTCTACCTTCAGGGCAGAGGTGGGGGGAGAAGGGGCATACATAAGAACAATTCCCCAGGCCTGCTGAAGCTTGGGAAGCAGAGACTTAAGAGCAAAATATGGTACCATGGGATGACAATGAAATGACGATTCCCCAAGTCCCTATCTCCCCTACATAGCTGAAGATCTGCTCTTACCCCAGCTCATTCAGGACCCAGAGTATTTGCTGGAGGGAAAAAAAGACATCCTTGAGGATCCCAGCAACAGAACAAGATAAGCAGAGTAGAGATCCTATGAAAGCCTCTGGCCCCTGGAATGGAGAACCACAGCTCCTTTTTTGTCCTAGTGTTTACATTGTCATTCTAGACAACACATTGGAAAGTCCAGAAACATGAGCTTAGATCTAGTGTTTGGGGATCTCTAGCAAAAGACCCAGCCAGACACTTGGTTGCCTTAGGGTAAAGTCTGGTAACCAGCAGGCACCTCACACCCACCCTGGTGCAGTGTGAGCTTCAAATCCCTTCGTGTCTATGTGTGAATAATCATTGAAAGACATTTGAGAGAATACAGAGAAAAGAAAGGGCTCAGAGGACACAGGCAATTCAAAGCAGCAGAAGAAAGTGTCAGAAATGTTATTAATTTCTTCAGGAGGGTAGGAAAAGAGTTAATACATCTGTGGGAAAAGAACAGATGCCATTATAAAAGGAGAAGAAACTGCTTATAAATTTAAAACTCCTAGAAAGAAAGAAGAATAGTCTATACAGGAAACGGAAGAGAAGAGCTCTTAAAAAATAGAATTGGTACTCAGCCTATTGTAGTTCCACTCAGATAGGACAGGAAAATATATTGAAGGGCCAGTGAGCTGGCTCAGCAAGCAATGGCGCCTGTGGCCAAGCCTGAAAACTTGAGTTCAGGCCACTATTTCCACAGGGTAGAAGAAGGGAACAAGCTGAAAGTGACCTCCACGTTCACTCCATGGCATGCCCATACACATGGACATGTAAAAATTAAATAAACAATAAATGTAATAAAAATATACTCAAGAAAAACAACAAAAAGATTTGAGGAACGCTGTACTGGAGAAATAGAACCCACAGATTAGATTTACAATGTAAATGGAATGAGAAGAAACCCTGGACTAATCGTGTCTTTGTGAAATCACTGAACACCGTATATGAAAAGGAGACTCAGAAACAAACAAACTAAGTAACCCGCAAAATATTAGGAATAAGAGTGGCATATTCTTCCTCAAACCAACTTTATATACTAGACAATAAAGTAGTCAGTCTTTAAGGATTCTGAGAGGAATTATTTGCTCCCAGAATTGTTAGGCAAACTAACAGTTGAGTGTGAAAATAGAAAAAGGTCCCTGGCACCCATCCCAGTCACACAAGAGCCTCAGAACAACTGGCTCCCCAAGAAATGGACATGCTTTCTCATGAAGACTGACAGATGTGGTCCTGCAAAATGTGGCAGAAATCGAGGAAAGGCATAGGATGCAAGACATAAGAGACCATCCCCAGGAGGGAAAAGCAGAAGCCCGGAGAGGGGACAAGCCAGACCTGGCCTCCTCCAGGACATAAGGGATCACGTAAGACGTGCGAGATGCTTGATTCTCAACACAATTGCTTAATAGACATTTATTAAGCCATGTAGGATATGGAAAGGTGTAACTGTTTCAAAGAAATCTGAACTCTGGGAAATGAAAGTATTTAAGAAAATAGCCATTGTGTATCCGTCGGCCAGGCAGTATTTATAGGGTGATCATGAAGAAAGCTCTGGGCCTGGGTTACCTCAGGAATGGAGGGGAAGTGTGGGGACAGTCACCTCTCCTCTGCCACTATATCATCAGTACTACATCATCAGTGTTTCAAGGTACACTTGAGGAGGGGTATGGGAGTGTGCTCTCCTCTGCCCTGCATTAGCTGTGAGACCTTAGGCACAGGATGGAGCCTCTCTGTGACTCGATTTCCCCATCCTAACAGGATAATCATAGCGATTGCCTCATAAGATTGGAAAAAAAAATATTAAGTTAAGCAGTTGAAAACTCTTAGGGGAATTTATAGTGACACAGGAAAGACTGTGCAAGTACTTCATGAATACTCAAGTGCCAAATGTTTAGGTACTGTGTAGCAATATGGTAAAAGTGTCACCAATTTAGTTAAACAAATGAATTTGGCTGCCTTTAGGAACTGGGAAGTATGAACAATATAGGCCTATGGAGCTCTGGCTTTAGGTTTCTTAGTATGGTTTAAGAAGACTATTACAGGTAATAAAATAAACAAAAACTCATATCCAGCAAGTTTTAAGATGAAGGTGCATGCAAGCTTTGGCAAGGACTACTTCATAGCCCCAGACAATTTATTGACATTCCCATTTGTTGTATAAGTGATGTCATATGTGTTTCCAAATCTAGCCAAGGAACCAAGTCAGTTTTAAGAAATAAAATTGTCAATATAGGAATCTATCACTTAGTTATTTCTGTATTAAAGCCACTAACTAATTAAAAAAACAAGGCTTTCATTGCCCTAAAAGAGTCTTACAGGTATTAGCCCGTGATCCGAGATTTGTGGAGGAAAAACATACATGGAAAGTAATTTCAAGCCCACTCCCCTCCTCCTACCCTCTGATAAAGAATTTAATAAGTAGTGGAACCAGAGACTTACACTGTAAGGGAGAGGGGGCGGAAGGCCTCGGATGGTAGAGGACGCACAGATCTTTCTCCCAAAGGCGTATTTCCTCCTCCAAACTAATGAAAGGACCAGCTGCAACTGGTGCTGTTCTTGTGCCCATAATGATATCCAACTGCCTCCGGGAGGAATTACACCCCAGCCATGTATTTCACACAGCTATTGGGATCAGAAACAAAGCCCTCGAAATAACGTATTCTTCCCTTGATTCTCAGTCCTGGTTGTCTACTCCTCTGCCAAACCCCAGTTTCTAGGATTTACCTGTGTGCATTTTAATCTGCTAACTCAATATGGAATAAGGGTTTTGTAAGATAATTCTAGAACTTCATCATGCTGCAGTTTGAGTACTTCTCTGTTCCTCCATTTACTATAAAAGAAGGTCTTTATTGTGTCTGCTGGCCCTCACTTGAGTAGCAGTTAGGGGCTAGAGCTTTTCAGTTTTGAAGGTCCCCTCATTTCCCCTACTTCCAAATGCAATGCTTATCATATTGTGTGCAACCACGAAACACACTTTACTCTGGGCCTTTCCCAAACTGTCGGTGTGGAGAACACAACCTCCTCTCTAAAGAAGGGAATGAAGCAGACTGAACTCTGCCCCAGTGTGACAGCAAATGAGTCCCTCACTGTGGGGACCTTAGGCTGAGCAACTGACCACTCAACACACTGTCATCTAAGAGGGTGACAGTTAATCATTTCCTTAAATGGCATGGGCATGAAGCCAACCGACTGAGGCTCAGCTGACTGAGTTTCCCCAGCACCCCTGCCCCTGGCACTGACTTGCCATTGTCCCCTTCTTCCCAGACTGCTGGGTTTCAAGAGATTCTGACGGAGGTGGAAATTTTAGCGGTGATTGTGGGATGCCTGTGTCATGACCTCGACCACAGGGGAACCAACAACGCCTTCCAAGCTAAGTAAGTGTTCTAATTGTTGTGATTTTTAATGCATTTGCCTTACTATTCGGAGCCAAAGGTGATGAGTGCTAAAGAGTAAAGCATTAATTTCTGGCATCAGAGGCCAAGGCCACACAGGCTTGGGCATGCATGTCATGGGGCCCATCCATCTTTATAATTCCCTATTCTTCTTTTAATTGCAAATTTGCCCTTCATGTCATGCTTGTTGATTTGGTCTGTCTCTGCTGACCTCAGTCAGAGAGCACAGCTCAGGTTTTCAAAGTCCTATTCTTTTCCTCTCTGCCTATTTGCCTCCATGGCATGACAAGCTACTCAGACCTGCTACTCTCAGATCTGGGTTTGAGATGATTAGAATAAAAACAGGCTCAGAAAGATTAATGAAACAAAGAGTGCTTTACTCTTCCCATCCCTATTCCCATGGAAAGATGGAAAACAGACAAAGGAACCACACAAACATATGCGATGGGCAAGTGACTGCCCACCCTGCACATAAGTCACATGGATAGACCAATCTGTTCCCAAATAAGTTAACTGGCCAAGAAGGCCACTGCTCAGTGGCTCACATTGTGGCCAGGGCCATGGAACTTACATGTGTTAAATTCCAGGTATCAGGACTCTTACACTTTACTCTGGGCCTTTCCCAAACTGTCGGTGTGGAGAACACAACCTCCTCTCTAAAGAAGGGAATGAAGCAGACTGAACTCTGCCCCAGTGTGACAGCAAAGTCTTAATGTTCTTTGAACTAGCTATCCACTAAGAAGATGGTCGGGTCCCTAGAGAAATGTTTTGGATGGGGAGGGGACAGGAAGAACGGCTTCTACAGAGAGGTGGGACAGATTTCAAAATTCTCAGAACAGGTAGACCTCTGCTAGCTGAAGCTCCAACAACCCACTGTGTGTCAGCCGGTTGCTTGTCCCTCCTTTTCATCCCCTGAACACTCCCTGAGCCAGACCTTGACATCTTGATCTGGTCTAGCAAACTGTTTTGATCGTGTGTCCTTCCCTCCATCGTTCATCCTCTAGCTCACCACTTTGAGCGCCTGCTCTCAATACCCAGTATCCGATAAAATAGTTCCTTGACCCTCTTAAACTTCTGTGACATCCCAGGCCTGCAAAAACGCAGCCTCGGTTCAGTCTAACAATTCAATTTCTTGCTACCCTGCCTAGACTTGTCAAAGCCCTGGGAGAAAATATCACAGTTGTACAAAGCTTGAGACACAACAGATAGGCATCCTCTCAACTCAGCTGCATGCTCTGGACTCCATACTCCAGCAGCTCAGCCTGCATCGCTCTTAGTGGCTGGGTACCACTAGTGCTCTCTTTTCCCAAGCTCCACTGCCTCCCCACACCACTCTACGGATCACCTTGCCTCCTACTTCACTGAGAAAATTGAGGCCATCAATCGAGAACGCTCTCAATTTCCTCCCCTGCCACCTACACATTTATCTGTCCCTCCCCATCCTTCCCTCTTTCCCTCCTATCTCAGTGAAAATGCTGTCTTTCCCATGTCTGAGGACAATCCCTCCGCCTCTGCTCCGGATCTTTCTTGCCTCTCTCCTCCGGGACCCTTGTCCATCAATCTCCTTCCTCTCTTCTGTATCTATATCTCCCCAACTATGGGTGCTCTCTCTGCTTCTAATTCACGTGAACAATTCTGCCCCATTTTGAAAAAATACACCTGCACCCCCACTTGGCTTTTCAGTGACTGTTCTGTTTCCTTCCTTCTCTTTCCTTCCCTCCTTCCTTCCTTCCTTTTTTCCTTCCTTCCTAGGCAAGCTTCTTGGGAAAATGTTTGTGTTGGTTGTCTTTGCTTCCTCTAACCTTGGCCTTGGCCAGAGCTTTCAATCCCATCTCACTAGAAAAGCTGCCCTTGGTGACCCCCTTTCCAAAGCTGTACACGCCCTCTGTTCTTGACCCTGCTTTCCATGGGCTGTATTTTCTTACTGCCTCCTTCCTAAACTTCCCTTCATTTTTTCTCACAAAAGATATTTATCTACCCATATAGCCTTCCTCCTCCGTTTGCTTCAAAGCCTCTTTCCTTGTGTACCCCATTCCCCTCCTGCTCTCTTGACTATTTGTGCCCAGCCTCCACCCATCCACTCCTGAACCCTAGCTGCATTTTTCAGGGCTATAAGTCACAGTCACTTATCTCCAGATACTCTTGCCAACTGCTGGAAGTGCCTCCTACTTGAAGTCCCAGACTCTTCTCATTCTTGGTCTCTCCCTTTTTTCCATGTCCCTTTTTCTCTGTCTCTATCCCCAAGAATGTACAAGTTACTCAGCAGCCTCAGTGGCATCTCAGCAAAACCGCCCCCTCCTTTGCATTCCTGGATCAACTTCTACTTCATTGTAGCTCTCCTGATGTTGCACCCACAAGCCCAGCTCTCCTCCTGCCTGATTGGCACTCTGGGAAAATCCTTTCTCATGCACAAAGGTGTTTATGTCACCCTCCTCTTCATCTTTGGGCCTCCTGTGATTTTCAGATATTCACATTCCTTCATTTAGCCTCATAAGTCTCCTTTAAATCAGACTCTGGCTCATTTCTCTGGCCAACCACTGACTTGTCCATCCATTCATCCCATACAGAAGAGACTTGCTCTCAGAGAGGCCCTGCTAGCTCACCTCTTTCTGGTATCTGTTGTGCTACTTCTTGCTCCAGAAAATGCCTTTCTGTGCCTTTCTCCACGTCTCCTCTGAGCACATCACTGCCAGGGTTCTACCCACAGATACACTCCCTCGTCGTTGTTTCAAGAATTTATAATGCCCTGGCGATGTATTTTCATACGCATCCACCTGCCTCCATTTTAATTGCTGACTTTCAGGTGTATCCCCTCTTCTTCTTTAAGACTGTACCCCCAGGCAGTGCCTGTAACATAATAAAAACACGGGAAATGTTTCCTGAATGAATGAATGGTGACTGGGTGGATTGTATTTTAATATACCCTCTCAACAGAGTTTCTTGATATTTTTATTTATTAAATGTAGCCTTTTACAAATGCAGATGATGAAACATAGCCTTAAAATGTATAGGTTTGATGTCGTAGTAAAAGCTTGAAACCTATTAATGTGTAAACCATGTATGTGCCCCTTTTGACAGTTCTTATTTAAAGTTTGTTTAAATGTCCTTATTTTTTCAAGATTCCTCTTGTCCATGTCATTGCATACTGTCAGTGTATTTCCCCCTGGGGCCCTCTTCCCAGTCCCCTGCCATATGACCAGCGATGCAACAAGAAGAACTAACTGGTTAGAATTGTGTCTGTAAACCAGAAGTGAACCCCCCTGTGTTCTTTTGAAGAATGACATGCACAATGCACCAGAATACCACTGGCCCTCCCCAGCCAGCCACACTGAATAGACGCTCTTCTCCACATCAGCCCCTCAGCAGATTAGACTGAGAGCCCACCCTAACCAAAGCTGGGCCAATAAGATATTGCTGTGTGTGCCCATGGCATTGCACCAGTTAGCTGTATAGAGCTAACTTGTAGGCTTTCTTGTAGGCTCGGGACTGTTGTCAGGAGAAGCTATGATAACTACATACCAAGTGGATGACAGAAACAAGAAGGCCAGTCTACAGAAAGGAGTGGGGGAGGAAGACAGCAGTCAGGGAGAAGTCAAAAGGAGACTATGAAAGTGAAAAACATTAGACTTTGAGCCAGTCCCTCCCCCTTCACCCCCCCTCCGCCATTACTTCTCCTACTTCTGGGGCACTCAGCCATTCTCATGACCCAGTCGGCGTTCCTGTGTCATTTAATCAAGACTTTTCCTGATGAAGCTCATTGCTCTTCATTTTTGTTTCTTGCAAATAGCAGTCCCAAAGACAAGGAAAATGATCATTTGTCCTTTCACTCTGCCAAGCCCTTGCCTTATCTTCTGTAGATAGTTTTGTCTCCATTTTACAGCTTGTCTAAATTCATCCTCCCAAATGTAGTGTAAACGGCAATTGGACCTAGGGTCTCTGATTCCAAGACCATTCTTCAACTACTGCACCAATGTTACCCTTGACTTTGTGACATCTGTCTTGGACTATTGACATTGAACTTTCAGTTTGCTGGCCATCTTGCCAGATGAGCTTTAGAAAACTAAAATATACCGACAGGCAGCACTCAAAATGTAGAGCTTGTGGAACTGAGCTGAACCTCTGCAGTCATATCTTTCAATGTCTGAATCTTGTGAAAATGGAAGTGAAAGCCCCTAAATCTCAGGTCAGATATCCAGGGCTGAACAGCTTTCACAGATACTAGGTAAGTCATGAGTCCCTGACACCAGACTTCTTTGTCCTCCAGCCCCACTATAGAGTTCTCCATGCCCTAAGACAGTACAGAGGGTTTGCTCAAACCAAGTCATCTTGCACCCAGTTTCCCAGCTCATAGATACCCATGAGCCCTGCTACTACCCAAGGAAGTCACACTTGGTTTCACACCCCTTGTTGCCAGCTCGACCTCAGTTAAGATTCCATTTGACGATGAATGTCAGATATTTAACACACCAGTTTAATGATTAGAATAAGATTTACCCAGTGAGTGTACCATTGTTTAAAATCCCTAGGAAGAAACCTGTAACCTTTGCTCCTCTTTATTCTTCAACAGTGGAATGTTTTCTGTGTTCAAGGTCTTGTGTTAAGCATTCTGGGAGAAGTAGGGAGTGCAGCAGACAAATCCCTTTCTTAAGTTTTGTATGTTCTAATCCATCTAATCAGAGGATTTGGCAACAATCAAATAAGTATATCTATATAAGTATAACTTATATACTACAGCTATTATGTGGCAAAGCATAGGCTGCCTTTTTTGTCATATAGGCTACCTTTTTTGTCATATAGGAGACTTTTAGCAAGGGACAAATGACTATATAAAATGCAAAATGCCCCTACAATAAAAAAAGTGTGACTTTAGAGCACAATTTGATTTATACTCTTAGCCTTTCTGATAAGTGAGCCTTTGCATTTTCATATTTTATCCTTAATTTTTAAGTATTGGAGAGCGTGCAGTGAATGATCAATAGGTAGCGAGGCCACCAGTACCATACAGTGCTCTGAAATTGCTCTTCTCTCTTTTCTCCAGGGACAGCATTGCCCACGCATCCCCCTCTCTATTACAGCTGCCCCTGATGATTAAATATCAGTAAGGCACAGCTTTGTAGTATATTCTCCTAGGAGATTCCTTCTATTCATTTCTAGCATAATCTCTTACACTCATTTCTTGGGAATGAAAACCCATCTTGTCGCTTTCGGCCAGGTCCCAGAAGTGAAATACTGGGGCACATTAATCTGCCCTGACAGCCTAATCCCATTCCTCACCACCTCCCAGCAATTCCCAGCTTCCTAATTACCTTTCATAGTTTGCCTTTTGAAAGTTTCCTCGAAGCCACTGCCGCACACTGCCATTAGCTCTTTTCCTCAAAGAATATGCCCATCCAGGATGTGAGGAAGGTGTGCTTTGGTGTACACTGACTTTGGGTGACTACACGAAGCAATGATGTCTGTAGAAACAGAATTCCCCCTTTTACATTTCAGTACATTTCTGCGATGTGTAGTGTGAATCTAAAAATCAAAGACTAGTATTTGGGTTGATCCAAGCAATGATGTACATCAGGATAGTCCCATTTGTGAATTACCATGCTTCCTCTCCCCTTCTTTCTATACACCCTGTATATACACACATATGCATATAAATATATATGATCGTATTTCCACAGCTATGGAGGATGTGCCCAAAGCCACTCATATGATGGATATATTACCATAGATAATCAAAATGAGAGACAGTGTTAAAGTCAATCTTCTCATATGACTGACAGAAGATTTTTTCATTTAAAAAGTGGGAATGAATATATATATATTTACATTATATATACATTACATTATAAATACATTTCCATACAGTGTTTTACATGAAAGACATTAGCTCTTTAGAACTGGCTTTATGATCATTTACAAGTGTATAAGGCTGCATATCATGCCCCTCCCTGATAGAGGAGGGCATGTGTTCACATATCAATGCTCCTAGAGAATGCCATACAATAAGTAGTTTGAACTTTTAAAGCCAGCATTTCTCTGAGTTATTTGACATTGGAACACTTTTTACTTAGGTTTGTCATGTCTTTTGGCATTTCGAGTTAGTAACAGTCTATAGAATGTTTATTGACAAAGTTTATCCTGACATATGTTCATCTTCTGCCACTATATTTATTTCTGTTTTGTTTAAACTGGCTTTTGCCCTTGGTGTTCCTAGGACATCCATAGTGTGTGAGTACATAAGAACATGGCAGACAAAATTCCTGGGGAGCCATGGCCAGGAGGGAAGACACTGCAAGGTTTGAAAGTCTTAGAAATACTGGGAAGAAGCACATACAATAGTACAAACCAGGGGTTCATGTGAAACAGAAGTAGTTCTTCAGTGACTTTACTGAAGTTAGTGCCAGCTCCATTCTCTGAATGCTAACTAAGATGGTTCTTTACCTACAAGAAGCTGAGTATTTTAGCACAAGACTGGTCAGAGAAAGCATTCTACAGATATCTGGAGAGTGTGAGATTCCTGAAGGTAGGATCCATGAATTACACATCTGTATTTCACATGCCAGGGACCTGACAAAATAATAGTCATCAGTGCTTGCTGGCTACATTAATGATAGGTCCGTGTATTCATGCTAGGTACGTGTGTTCACACTTATGTGAATGGATGAATGAGTCCCAATGTCTTCCTGCACTGAAACCACATTAGTATGGTTCAATTTCAAAATTTACATATTTTCTGTACCCCTATTCCATATTGAATGAATGTAAGATGGAATTGTAGAAAGCAACAAATAGAGAATCTAATAGTAAGACCCTGACCATCCTGCTGGGGACCAGTAGTTCTGAAGCCACGTGAACAAGGGGAGGAAATGCACAACAGAGCAAGCATCAGAGTGCCTCCTACAGTGTTCTCTGCCCGAGGAAGAAAATATCCCTTTTCCATGCTGAACGAAGAAAACTCTAAGTGACTTGTGAACCTGGCTTATGTGGTAAAAAAAAGAAAGAAAGAAAGAAAAGAAAAAAAAACCCTATTAATACATGAAGTGGGTTAGTGTGATTCCCAGTATGTGGTAGGCACTTACTGATGGTGGCTAGTACTAGCAGTAATATAATCATTATAAAATATATTACACATGTATTTAAAAATATATGGCACACATCTTTAATACATATAAAAACATAAATAAATATAGGTATAAAATTATATGAAATATATAAATGTTATAAAATATGTTGACACATATATTATAGTCAGTCCCCTAGTTTATCCATGAACTCTCCATACAGTACCATGAGCAAGTAACTTTTAAGCACCTACACCTTGCCAAGCACACAGAAGCTCAGCATTCAAGTCAAAATCATGTTGTGTGTATTTGTCATGGAAACACATCCTATGTAATGACAAATGACAACTGACCTTAAATGTTAACCCATCAGTAAGATTAGCCTGAACTCTGCCCACTTGTTAGGTGCTGAAGTAAACTTAGGCAAGACTTAAGGAAATAACACATACCTGACTAAAATCTAGTCCCCTCCTTCATTAACCCTCTTGATCACAAGCTCCCCTCAACCTAACCTTGCTGCTACCCCAGGATGCAGTAGCTCCGAGTCTCTCCAAGGATCACAGGTCCTCTGTACCCCTGAAACCGATGGAAGGCTTGGGTTGCCTTACACTAGAGGTATAAGGCAGCTTGGGATGGAAATCCTTCTTGTGTATAGGTGCAGCCTTTTATTTTCTCACTGTCATGATCAGCTGAAGGCATCAATCCCCATCATTTGCGAGTTAAAGTCAAACTGTCCTTTTAATACCCTGGAGCTCCCTGCAGTAAGCCAGCAAAGAACACTGGGCCTGGATGGATCCTCAATTGACTCCCAGATGGCTTTTGATTCCCTGGGTTTCTCTTGGCCCCTAACATGCTTGAACTCCAATTCCAAAGAAACAGCTGGAGGTGAACTGCTGAAACACTCTAAAAATAAATACTTTACTGAACTGGCATTATTGAGAGATGGGCTGTTCTACATAAGAGAAATTTACAGATAATTCAAAGGAATCCCCTCAGGTATCAGGGAACACTGTGTTCATTTAAAATGGAAATGTCCATGTGTGTTTTAATTATCTATTAATAATTAATATAGATTCCTATCTACTCCCTATCTGGCACTATGACAGGAACTTTCAAGCATTTTATTGTAGCCTGGTAAACAACAGATGAGGCATACAGTACTGGCATGATTTAAGAGACAAAGAAACTGAGCCTGAAAGTCAAGTAATTGCTCCAGGCTATTTAATGAAGGAAGAACGGTGACTTCAGGTCTTCTACACTAATATATGGTAGTGGACCCTGAAGGTGAGGAAACACTAACAGAAGGTTGTTAAATGTATGAAGAGTAGATAATGAAGACTGCCAAATATTCTCCAAATCTTTTCTGGTGGAGAGTCAGACACATCTCATAGGAGAAAGTTTCTGTGCACGCTTAGATGTCTAAGGCTTAGTTCATGAAGCCTACATGGATCATAGAGGCAAAAGGTGTAGAACACATGCACACATACATGAGCATGAGCACACACACACACACACACACACACACACACACACACAAACAGAGAGAGAGCACTTGGCATCTGTACTGTTGGCTACCTGTTTTACTTTTGCTCAGAATCACATCTTGTCTTTCACCAGTCTGTAAATGGCTTAAAAAACAATGACTGTGCCTTGTTAACCATTTATCATTTACAGCATCCAGCCTAATACATAGAAAGTTCTGAATAGTTTAAGAGATGAACAAACTCCACAGCAATTACCTAGAATACATTTGCTCATGGTCCACTACCAAAAGCAAATAGTCCACAGAGCTGGTGTGGACAACAGTTAAGGTGAAGGGTCTTGCCTACTCAGCCTTCTGTTCTCTTTCAGAAGTGACTCTGCACTGGCCCAGCTCTACGGGACTTCGGCAACCTTGGAGCATCATCATTTTAACCATGCGGTGATGATCCTTCAGAGTGAGGTATGAACTACTCCACTTCTCCCCTCAACAGAAGGTCAGCTAAGTGATCCCCGCTCTGTGCTTTGCCATGTACGAATCCAAAGGTGTGAGAGGCTGTGTTTAAGTTAGCTCAGTCCCTGGTGCCTTTTGTGAAACCATCACATGCCAAAGACCTTGTTCCAGGCCTTCTGGAGCTGGACCACCTGGCTCTGCTGGAGGTTATGCAGAATCACTTTTAGAGTACCAGGTGGAGGTTGTGTGTTGCCAGGGCATCATCTTGTCTTCCTTGAAGGATGCAGGCTACCAAGGGGCATGATTTATGACAGGGTGGTCCAACTTGCCCATTTTGTGAAACCCAAGGCCATGGAATGAGATGGTAGAAACAGTAAGAGTCAAGCTTTGATAGTCAAGACGCCTATAAAAAAAAAAAGATGAAAGAACTGAATTTTTTTGGTAGGGCTGCTTTTGAAAGTGAGAGATGGCTACTAACACCGGACTAAAGCCATATGCCTTATTTTACTTCCTATAGCAATGCATGACTAAGAGGGCACTGGAGTGTGGATTTGTCTCTTTCTGCAGAGAAAAACAGAAACCAGTAACTGACTCTGGCTGCAGCAGCTGAGTTTTTAACTTGCCAGGAAGAATCTGTTTAATTTTCTGAAGGCATACAGACCCCCCTTTTTTTGCCAGGAAGGGATCATCTGTCCCCCATTATTTGTCAGCTCTCTGGCTATGCCATTAATTATTATTATTATCGTCCTGCTTTGCTGGAATGGCATCATTAAATATGGACCGTTTTTTTTTTCTCTAGATTATTTTGAGGAAGCATTCTTTTGTAATATCACCAAAGCCTTTCAACCTCATAACAGAGACCCACCACTCCAGAGCCTGAATGTGGGCTAGGGCAGGGCAGCCTGCCAGGGGTGCTGTGTTTTTATTTAGGAGTAAAGCTCCTAAGTAAGGGCCTTGGGAACTGGTGGAGCCAACTTCCTGTCGTCTATGGTTCTGGAATATGAAAACCACATGTTAGCCAAGAGCCTCGGAGGAGGCAGGGATAGCCGATGCTTTTGTTTAGCTTGTCTTTCTCTGCTAGCAAATGTGATGGGCCCTAAAAGGCCACCATTGTCATCATGAGGATCATAAACAGCCCAGCTCCCTTAGGTTGTGTCTTCTAAACATGACACATTGGCCAGCCTCCACTCCAGTTTCTTCTGAGTGATAATGACCAGTGAAAATGGATGCAGGCAATGAACCCCAGGCTCCATGTCCACTCCATTCTGCCACCAGGAAGACAGATGTCACCCCTGACCCACTTTCCAACTTATACAGATGTGCAGAGGTCTGGGAAAAAGTTTGCCTCAGGCCTTTCCTTCTCCACACCTGGATTTCCCACCTGTGCCATATTCTCTGATTCTCTAAACCTAGTCAGTCCCTCATAGCATTTGTGAGAGACTCATTGCCACTTAAGGGTCAAACCTTGAGGTGCTGTACCAGGCAAGTTTGCATATTCAATAATGCACTGGTGCAAACTAACCTTTATAACTTAAAGCTGATTTGGCTGGATCTGTATTCCCCAAGAACAGTACTATTTACCATGTCCTTTAAAAGGCATGTCACAGAATAACCAGCACCCTCAAGGGCAGATGACTTCTCTTGTCTGAATGCAAACTTTCTATTCAGACTTGCTCCTAAGGCTGTCTTGCTTCCACTGGGTGATGTTGGATGTGTTGCTGAATCCATTTTCTCAAAAGCTATAAACTTCTTTTTCCCGGGTTCCAGAATGCTTGCTTGCAACTGCCCCCATGAGGTGATGCTCAGGCAAAATTGAAGGAAAACACCCTGGGCAAAATCATGGTCCTGCTTTCCTTGAACTCTTTATCCTCTTCACTGCTGAACTAAAGGTCTAGAAGAGTGCAGTTGAAAATTACTATTAATATTGGACCTGGTCCCAGGTGGAGCCAATGTCCTATAGTCAGGATGGGAGGGTTTACCCAATGAGATAAATCAGCTTGGCAAAGCAGATTATCACCTGGCGCATAATTAAAATGAAATTGCTAATTGATATCCTGGTTCCTTGGGTAAATTAATTTACCTCTCATGGAGAATAGTTTATTCTTGAGAAGTCGTTGGTCCCTTTCCTTCCCTACTATCTTCTGGCTCTCAGTCCTAGGTTCAAATTGATCCAGTTCTCAGGCCACATGCTTATGAGTTCATATTTCATGCTAACACAAGCAGACAAAAGAAGTCCTGACTTGGCGAGTACGTGAAGTAAATGATGGTCACATTGCTGAAGGGTTTCCCACCTTACTAACAACAAGCAGTGGGGCTGCCAAGTGAGTCTTCTTCTAGAGGACACTCTCCAGTAATATGGAGGTAAACTTGTATTGCAGCCTTTGTTTGGCAGACATCATCATTAGAGTCCCACTGCACCCAGACAATGGCTTCTTCATCTTAGCTGTTCAGCAATTACCCAGTGCTGGGAATTTAATCCAGCACACGAGTTATCAAAGCAGAGTTCCTCACTTCAGCAGGGAGGGAGATCTTTGAGTGGCATCCCCTGTGTATTGAAGGTTGTTTAGCTACATTTCTGGCCTCTCCCATTAAAGGTATTAAAGTTCAGTCATGACCATCCAAACTGTCTCTATTTGCTCCCAAAGCTTCCATTGTCTAAATATCCCCCATTGAGACACAATAGTCTAATGACCTTTGCTCTTCCACAAAGTCACTTGTCACCATAGCAAGTGTCTCTAGAATGCCAACTAAATCTTTATTAGCAGAAGCAGTATTTCTCTTGGGATCAGAAAGATTCCCAAGTGTCTAGTCCACTTCTCCACTATGTACTTCTATGTCTATAATAGCACAAGTTCACACATTTTCAGAGTTCCTGTCCATGCTGAAAAGACAATAAACTGCTCCTTGGTGGACCTCCCCTGCAGCAATTCACATTCTGGCTTTGCTATTTGCCAGCATGTCTGTTTGTGTTTATAAAAATTTTACTAAGCTTTGGGCTGGAGAGAGGGAGAGGGCCCACATTTAAAAGCATTTGCTTACTCTTCCAGAGGACCTGAGTTCTGTCTCTGGCACGTGAGTCAGGTACCTCACAAGCATCTGTATCTCCAGTTTGAGAGGATCTGATGCCCTGATCCCAGTGGGCACCTGCACACACTTAAAAGGGTCCCCACATCCACACACAACACACACAAATAGAAATAAAAAATGAATCTATACAAAATGAAAACTTTTATTAAACTTTAAGTTTTGTTCATGTTCTGATATTTTTAATAAAATATAGGGAAAACATGCATTTTAATGGTGCATATTGTGACTTTCTACCCTTCTTATTACAGGGACACAACATTTTTGCTAATTTGTCCTCCAAGGAATACAGTGACCTCATGCAGCTTCTGAAGCAGTCGATACTAGCCACAGACCTCACGCTGTACTTTGAGTAGGTATCGGAACTTAGTCTGTTTAACAAATGGGCACTAACATTCCATTTTTTAATTAATTTCTGGGTCCATACTGAACATTGCACATTATTTCAGCATTGCTCTCAGAGCTTCCCTTGTCTAAATGAAGCTCATTAAGATGGTGTATACACTCCAAGGATTTAGGGTTATAGTGACAAGTTTGAAGTCTTTCTTATGATGGATGCACCGTCTCTGGATCTCATGACTCTGCAGCTAAGTTCTGGTCAGGTTATTTCATGAACTACCTCCAACAGCTGTTTCCAGGTGTTATCTATGTTTGTAATGGTGTTGATGGTGATGATGGACAATATTCATGGGTGGGAGAGTGACTGGAAACTTCAGCCTTTGTTCCTTGTCCCTCTCCCCGATTCATACTTTGAACAGCCTGTCCCCATTTTTACCAAAATTGTACTGTCAGTGGTCACCAAAGACTTCTGGCCTTTTCTAGCTTTCTTGACATAAAGGTTTACTGATGCATCACTATCAGTTTCTACTCTTTGCTTCCCCAACAGTCAGGAATATTTCTTTCTCCTTTTCCAAATCCTCTGTAGACTTCTAATCCCTCTTCCTTTACGAGTCCTGTAACCCATGCTCTGCTCTCTCTACTGAGGTTGTCTTCCTGACCTCCTGTCTGTATTACCCTGGCATAGGTTACATGCAGTGTGTGTGGGAGGGGGGCTGAAATGCTTCATGCTAACTCCCTGCATTGTAGACACTTATCCCTGCCTTCTATCCACCCAGCCTTCAAGAAACCTTAAACACAGCTTGACTTACCAAATCCTTCCTTATTGCCCCCTCTATATTTTCCATTTTTAGAAAGATTTTATGTTTATTTACATGTGTATATGGGAGAGGGGCTTATGGACATGAGTGTTATGTCACTGGAGACCAGAAGAGGATGTCAGAGTCTCTGGACCTGGACTTACAGGCAGTTGTGAGCCACCAGATACAGGTGCTGGAAACCTAATTCAGGTCTTCTGCATGAACAGTGTACTCTTAACCATTGAGCCATTTCTCTGGCCCCACTTTTTTCTTTGTATTATTATCTTTCATTTCTTACCTATAGTATCTGTCTGTGTTGGCCATACCTGACCACATACTATCCTTTGAAACAATGCCATGTCCCTATCATATCATCATTCCTCTATAGAATCCTATCCCCACTCGTGGTTCACCCTCTGTCTGAACTGACCTATCCTTTAGGTTTTGTCTCTTCTACCACTTTCCCTTTCAAGTCTTACTGCACCTTGACACTGCATCGATTTTAATTAGGTTCAGTGGTAGGAAGTAGAAAACCCAAAGCAACAATTTCTCCATTGCATAAAAGAAATACAGAGACCCACAATCTGATGGTGGTGTGGTAGCTAATGAGGTCCTCATGGACCAGGTTTCCTTTGTCTTTCTATGGTGTCAGTTTCTACCTGTTAGTCAGAGACAATTGCTCAAGTTCCAGCACTACTGCCCACCTTCAAGCCAACAAGAAGATGGGATAAAGAAGGGGCAAGGAGTAACTCGGGCCATCTTCCAAGGTGTTCTGGAAGCTTCCACTTAGTACTTCCAGTTACTACTCAAAATTTTGTTTTGTGGCTATATCTAGCATCGAGGAATGTTGAGGATGGAATATTTTCTTCTTCTAGATAGCCTTGGAGTTCTATTAGCAGTGGAGAAAGGAAGAAGGGATATTTGTGTAGACAATGGGCAGTCCATGTCATAGGCATTTATTATTGAATTTTGCCTGTGGATTATTACATGGGACAGTGGAAGGAGTAAAGACTGTGTTATTGGCCTGGATTTAAATTTCATTCTGTCATCCCCATTAAGCCCAGTGGCTTGAAAGTTCTCTTTCCTCCTTGGAATTCTAATGATCTGTAATGTCATTAAAGGGTTAAATATAAAGAAGAGAGCACACCACCACTGCCATGAGTAGCCATGCAGCTGTGGAGAATGAAAGAATGAAACAAAGGTTCAATGAGATAGACCAAGGCTCTGGATTTTCTGAAATGAAAGCCTAGAATCCAGTCATCCAGTCACTCTGAAGTTAGGACTCTCTCTCTCTCTCTCTCTCTCTCTCTCTCTCTCTCTCTCTTTAGCCTTTTAATTCCTGACTTTGACACACAAACAGGCAACCAAAGATCAGAGAGGTTTAATGCACCTCTAATGAAAAACAGAGACCAAAATGGAAAAGAAAAAAAAAGTACCATAGAGAAAAACCAGTTGTCAATACCCTTCAAGAAGTCAGATGCTGTAACCATTAAACAATAATAGGTTGCTTCAAGTAATAACAGAAGGAAGCATGGAGAAGAAAGGTCTTGAAAATGAAAGCACGATCGTTAAAAGAATGAATGAAAGCTTTGTGTGGAGGGGTTCAGTCAAAAGACTAAAGGCAACAGATGCACTTGTTTTGAGTGCCGTTTGGAGCTCTTGGATTTGTTAGCCACATACCTACTTTCCATTTGACTAATTCAGAAGTGTGCATGTGGGACCAGTGAGATGGCTCAGCAGGTAAAGATACTTGCTGCCGTAACTGACTACCTGGGCTTGATCTCCAGAATCCGCACAGTAAAACAGAGAACTTCTTCAGGTTGTCCTCCAACCTTCACACATGTACCATGCCAAAGGCATGCACACACACACGCACACACACACACACACACACACACACACACACACACACACCGTATATGCTTGTACATGGAGGCCAAAGGTCTGATGCCATCCACCTTGTTTTTGAGACAGGGTCTCTTATTGGCCTTGAACTTACCAAGTAAGCTAGCCTGGCTGGCCAGTGAGCCCAGGATTCCCTCTTTCCTTAGCTTCAAGATTACAAGTGTACCCACCACACCTAGCTTCATAACATGAGCCCTGGGGACTGAACTTGGCTTCTCATGTTTGTATGATAAGGTACTTTACTGTCTCCCCAGCCCAACAAATACAAGTCTTAATTAAAATAAAAAAATGCATGTTTTAAATGACTCAGCCTCCGTTGCTAACTAGCTATGTGTCATCAAAAGCATTGCTTTCCTCTGAGGTGCCTTCCTTCATATGTGGAATGGCAATACCATTCTTTACATCTTATGAGTGGTGGCAACAGCAACCTGATTGCTTTACAATCTACTTATTCCATGTGTTCTGAGGCCCTCGGGCTGCCTTCACTATCATGGCCTCCCATCTTTTTCTAGACTGATGCTCCTAGATTTGGGATTTATGAAAAATCCATGTTATGATGCTTTTGTTTTCCTTCCTGGCACTTGCAAGTTCTTGTGCTATATTTCTCAAAATAGAAGCATTTTCTAAACCAAGTTTCCGAGTAACTCCTAAAGGGACAAAAGCAGGGGGAAAGCCACCCTCGACTGTTGGTGTTCATTTATCAAGCTCTGTTAAGGATGTGACGAATCACTAAGCGCCACTGGAATGCAGTCAGGGAAGTTGGTTGCCAGTCCTTCGCTCATTACTCTGCTCTTATCTTGACGCTGCAGCCTCTGCTAATGTTTGCTGACTCCCACAGAAGTGCCTTGCTCCTTCTGTCAGCATTATTGTTTTTGAGGTTCTGCATAGCTCATTCTCTAATCTAGACCTCCAGGAGACTGATCCGTGTGCTGGTCTAAAGTTGTATTAAAGTATGGCCGTATTTCCAGTCCAAACAATCCCTGGGGTTAATGAGGGAGAAACAGCTACTATCTACATAGTTACCCAGGTGCTTATATTTCACCAGTGTACAATTTTGGAACTGGGAGGCACGTTGGGGTTGACAACAGCCACTTCGTCTCCTCCATTTTTGCAGATCAGGCACTGATTGTTGAACAGTATAGCTTGAGTCACAAAAGTAATTATTGGCAAAATTTGAAGCCGTACTCCCAGTTTCAGGGTTTTTCCCACAACCACCACATTCTTTCTCTAATGGATGAATCAAGAAACAGTTCCAGTTGAATTGTAGTATATTCTATAGCAACACTAACCTAACCTGGTGAATGTCCATCAGTTTAACCAATTAACTAACCTGAATCCCCTAAGCTCTTCCCCAAAACACAGTTGGAGGCAAAGGCCTGCATGCATTTAGTTTAATTTTGAAAATAACACCAAAGATAAGAGTGGCATGAAGGGCTGGGTCAGGGAAGCTATTGTGAGAATATATCCCTTGTTGGTCACCACATGGTCAGCTGGGCCGGAACCTAAAGAAATCATCTGAAACATCTCGTATGTTGTATCTCCAAATTGGCCTCCAGCCTAAATTTCTCATGAGCCTAAATTTTTTCCTGAGTCTTAAGAACTTCTGTGCTCTTCCAAGTTTTATGTACTCAGGGCCTGGGAATTCCTACAACTGTCTCTAGTCCCACACATGAGGAGCCCAAGCATAGGAAACTAGGAGGCTCTGCACAGGGCAGCAATGATGGGAGTTATAATATTGGTCATCCTAGCAACAGCTGTAGAATGGTAGGGCCCAGAGGATACAAGGTGACCCTTTGATTGATTCTAGAGGTCTAGTTATCATTGGCTCATCTGCCCTGACTACTCAAATCAGACATTGTGGTAGTTGTAGGTGTGGCATCACAGTCCTGTCAGAGTCCTGTAATCCCAGCACTTGAGATGCTTGAAGTAGAGTGATTGCCATGAGCTTGAAGCCAGCTGGGCTATAGAAAAATAAAATAAAAATTTTAAAAGTTATAGTGGAATTGATCAAACTATAAAGGAAGCCACTCTAGGAAGAAGAAAGTCACTGTAGAAATGGCAAGATGGACAGCAAGTGGATCCCACCTTTTGAGAAGATATCACAGCTCATTCTTAGGGTCAAGAATTCCTGCCATGATTCAGAAGAGAAACATACATAGAATTGTAGGCAACAAAGTAACCACAAGACTAGTAGTTTCATATCCAATGACTCTGGGTATTCTTGAGCCTATGTGCCACAAGCAGCATGGGGAAGGACCTACAGGACTATGAAACAAGAGCAAACAGGCGAATTCCTTGGTGTGAGTATCTA